GGGGCAAGTGGTGGTGGTGTCTGTGTGATAACTTGCATGTTATAAATCAAATAGGCAGCTTTCAGACTAGCTGAAATGTTCCATTTGAACTGACTTAGCTTTATCCAGCAGTAGTTAATTACTAGTGTCTCATTATACTCTAATCACAGTTGTGTTAGGATAGTGATTATAAAAACAGAATTCCACCAAATGGAACTTTCCACTCAGGCTGCAATTTTTTGTCAGTCCTTGGTATAAATACCAGGTCTGCGCTCTGCCAGCGAAGTGCCCTAAACACAATGCTTATGTCTTTTTCTCTTGAAGTTTCAGTGGATTTTGGATACATCTCAGTGAAATCAAGACCTTCAGTGGTATCAGTGTTGAGGTGTGCCTCCACCTGAAGTTTATGCTGGCAAGGATGCGATTTGAGGAGGTAGGAGAGGAGGATATCCATTTCCCTAGACAGAGGAAAAGACTGAATTTGGTCCTTTGAACAGACTGTGGCTTTTTTAGAAGCTGGGGGAAGGCAAAGTATGGGGAAGTGCTTATTGCCCCTGCCCTCAGTTAAAGCCTCAGCTGCTGTATGCTCTGTGCAGAGTTCAGCAAATCTGTACCAGGCTGAATCTCTTGGAGGACTGCGTCCTAGAATTCGCTCTGGTTTGCAGTATGGGGTTGATAGTTAGTTACCACTTTTCTATATGTGGTTATCACAGTCAGAAGACACTTGTGTCTTTTGAAGGAACTTAAACAGGTTTATATGAAGAGTAGGGAAGAGGAGCTGGAGTCCATGGTTGCTTAGTATTTCAGCCTGTCTTCAGATAACTGCTAGTGATTAGTCAGTGAAGTGATTCATGATATGGGCATCTGTGGTTTTTTAGAATCATAGAATCGTTTAGGTTGGAAAAGACCTTTAAGATCATCCAGTCCAACCATTAACCTAACATTACCAACTCCACCACTAAACCAATTAAGGGTAGAGTAGCAACCCTTAATCTAATTTTGTTTGGTTATAGCTGTGGAATTTTTTTCCAACTGTGCATGATTTCTGCAAGTACAAAATGGATGGAAAATGGAAGCTTTTAAAATGTTTTTGAAGTTGGAACTAAACTTTACTTGGCTTTTACTAGCAATCTTCTGTGGCTGTGCTGCATGTTCCAAAAGGTAAAATAGCATGAAGAAATACTTGATTATATGGGAAGGGAGAAGGGTAAGAATCAGTTTGTCTACTGTGCTGCTTTAATTCCACCTGTTTTGTTGGACTAAATAGATTTAACAGACAACTGCAAGTGTTTAATGCTGCAGTTAATTAGGTTGTCTGTTTCTGTTGAGCATGATCCTAGCCCAGTTCTTGTCCCATTGTGTTTGCATATTCTCACCTGTTTGCTTCAGATGTGGAATGAAACAAAATGCCTGCTCTCTATGGTGGTTTGTGTCATGTTTTGGTTTGGTATGTGTATGTAATCAGTTAATGTAGTCTGGTTGAGCAGTGGTTATTTCTTAAACAATTGCATCCCTAGACCCCTGGGGTCAATATCTGTCTTTAAGTGCTATGAAGCTCATATGTGTTTCTGCCTTTTTTTGTTTATTGTGACTGTTTCTGCCCTATTTAATTGGGGATTTTAAGAGATTATAGAGTCACCATCCTTAGAGATATTAAAAAGCCATCTGGACACAGTCCTAGGCAGCTGGCTCTAGGTGGCCCTGCTTGAGCAGGGGGCTTGGACCATATGACCGCCAGAGGTCCCTTCAGCCTCAACCAGTCTGTGATTCTGTGTGTCTGGTTGGGAGAGAGGTGCAGGGAATAAAAAAATAGAACTATCTGAAGTCTGTTGCTGTAGAGGAGAGGACAGCGGGAGCTGACAAAGAAAAAAAAAAAAGTCTGTAAAGAGCTAGAACAAAGCATGCAAGGAATTGCAAAGCAGGTGGAGATACCATACTGGAATGAGCAAGATTGAACCTTGCTTTTGGTTCTGCCAATACCTCGTTTGTCTCTGAACTGTTAGTGGTTGGTTGGTGTCACTCATGATTCAATGAAATAATACTTGTGGGAGGGAAAAGCAAGTGTGAAGGGAAATACTTCCCCAACAGTGGCCATTTTCAGCCCAGAGGATTGCCCAACTTTGTTGTGGTTTATCTGCTTACACCACACAGTGGAGTCCTCTTGCAAGCACTTGTCTCCCCTTGAGTTTGTGTAAACCGCTTACATCTACAACTGTCCACATTGCCAGGATTTCCACCTACCTGTTTTCCCCACTCCCAGAAGAACAACTGTTTGTTCATTTGTTCTAAACCTGGTTTTCACCACGGCCACCCAATTTGTGTCTCCTACTTACTGGAAGAGATACTGAGCTGCTCAGTGTTTTTGCAGCTGGTGTGCTTATGGAGAACTGGTGCTGGTGTGGGCACCAGCTCAGCTGGGCAGCTGCGCTTTGTTTTGTTTAGGGCTTTTTTTTGGTTGCTTTTTTTTTTTCAGTGGCATAGCATAAACTTCAAGAGGCTGAAGAAAGTGCTTGAGAAGCTGGAAGTTTGTTGACTGGGTGGGTGTTTTGGTGGGTTTTTTTCCTTTTCTTTTTTGGTCTCCTTAGTCCTCCCACACATTTATCCTCTCTGTTAATTAGCCTGCTTTCCTCCAGATTAGAAGTCTACAATAAACAAAGTATTGTTGAGATTACATGTCTCCAGCAAGAGAGTCCACAGAACATTAATTGGGTTGGTAAAGCACTTTATTAGTAGTAGGGGGAATGTGGTTGAGATTCTCTCCTGTAAATGGAGACCAAAATGGATCCAGAGGGACCTGGACAAGCTGGAGAGGTGGGCCTGTGTGAACCTCATGAGGTTCAACAAGGCCAAGTGCAAGGTCCTGTACCTGGGTTGGGGCAATCCCGGGTATCAATGTAGGCTGGGGGATGAAGGGACTGAGAGCAGCCCTGCGGAGAAGGACTTGGGGGTACTGGTGGATGAAAAGCTGGACATGAGCCGGCAATATGCGCTTGCAGCCCAGAAAGCCAACCGCATCCTGGGCTGCATCAAAAGCAGCGTGGCCAGCAGGTCGAGGGAGGTGATTCTGCCCCTCTGCTCTGCTCTGGTGAGACCCCACCTGGAGTACTGCGTCCAGCTCTGGAGCCCTCAGCACAAGAAGGACATGGACCTGCTGGAGCGGGTCCAGAGGAGGGCCACCAAAATGATCTGAGGGCTGGAGCATGTCTCCTACGAGGCCAGGCTGAGAGAGTTGGGGTTGTTCAGCCTGGAGAAGAGAAGGCTGCGAGGACACCTTATTGTGACCTTCCAGTACTTAAAGGGGGCCTACAGGAAAGATGGGGACAATCTTTTTAGCAAGGCCTGTTGTGACAGGACAAGGATTAATGGTTTTAAACTAAGTAAGAATAGATTTAGACTGGATGCAAGAAAGAAATTTTTTACAATGAGGGTGGTGAAGCACTGCAACAGGTTGCCCAGAGAGGTGGTGGAGGCCCCATCCCTGGCAACATTCAAGGTCAGGTTGGACGGGGCTCTGAGCAACCTGATCTGGTTAAAGCTGTCCCTGCTTACTGCAGGGGGGTTGGGCAGGATGACCTCTAAAGGTCCCTTCCAACCCAAAGCATTCTATGATTCTAAATGGATGCAAGTGGTAGATTTTGATTTGGTATAGCATACCTATCTGAAATTAATTTAAATTATTCTAAAATTAATAACTTAGGATGCTTGTCATGTTGAAAACTAAATATGCATTTGTTTTTTCCAGTCTGAATAGCTGATCTACATTATAGTCTTCGGTCTCTTCTGGATCCAGGCTGCAATAGCTGGAAGTGCTTGCACTCTGTCTCTGAGAGCCAAAAGCCTGGGGTAGTTGTCTGCCAGGTCAGGTTTACAGGACAGAAGTGTCGTACTGCATACATCCCAGTAGAAATCAGCCCATGTTACCTGGTGGAAATGGGAGAGAAAGAAAAAAATTGTAGTTGGTAATCTGAAAAGCTGGGGCTACTCATATTCTCAGCAAACTGCAGAAATGAAACATGCATTGATCTGTTTTGTGTTAACTTTGTGGTGTGGGTTTTTTTTTTCTTTAAAGCCTATAATTACAGCGTTAGTAATTAGGTTGCAATGCAAGGCTTGACTTAAGTAAAAATTGGCTAAATACAGCCCTTGCTACAAATATTACTTGCATTATAATATTAATCTTTCCTGCTGAACCTGTGCTACAGAAATGTGTTTTAGTTTCCAAACAGTTTGGGGTAAAAAGGGGGATTACATTTTCATAGAGGTTTTTTTCATATTGCCCTATAAATTGATCAGCAATTATAAGCAGAGTTCTAAACAACTCCCATCTGTATTGACTAGTACGAAGGCATTTATAATGTTTCGTGTCAACATAACTTCTAAACTGGTTTAGAAAATGCAGATCCTAATCGTGGTTTGCCTCATTTTTCTAATAGTATGGAAAACAATTTTCACTTTGCAATTGAGTGACCAATTGTATTGGTAAGAACAAAGAGTTAAAAGAGTGGAAGAGTTGTTTCATGGGCTGGCATGAAATCCAGAAATTCAACAATAGTCAATGATTTTATTTTTCTGGCAACCTGATTGGGAATGGGATAAACAAAAATACTTACAGACTTCCCTACCAGCCAGTTGTTATCCCCTAAGAAAGTATCCAAACCTTTCAGTAACTCAGGTGCTTTGTTGGTGAGGATGTCATCAAATGCTTGTTTCTGGGGGAAGAATGAAACACAAAGATGCACAGCAATGTGTAAGCACAGCACAACTGAATTTTGGGGGGTTTCTTACTTGTGAAAAAGAAAGCTGAAGTCTGGAAAAGGTGACAGGGATATCGTTTGATCTGACCTAAACTTTATAGAGTACTCTCGGTTCTCTTTGAAAGAAGGAATGGGTGTTAACATCCAAGTCAGGATTAATACAGCAAACAGCAATTATTTAAGATAAGTAAGGAAATGCAGACGTAACTGCCATTTGGATGTGTGCAAACGGGCATTATAGAATTTAGGAAAGCTAGGGTAATTATCCATGAAGTGGGCTGGATGCCCAAGGCATTCGTGGCTCAGTGAGCCATCACTTAAGCCCGTTGCTCCCTTAATGAATACCTCCTGGATGCCGAGATGCGATGTGTGGGGCGGTGCTGCTCGTTTATCTGTGCTAACCAGCCACCTCGGCACAGCAAGGTGGGAGCCCTGCCATAGTTTGGGAAGAATCCATCTGTAAAATATATTCCCAATGTCTCACGGTCGTCTTTTTGGGGCGCTTTTGGATGTTATGCTTTCTAGTGTATGGGGTCTCAAATTTCCAGAATCCCTTAAGCTCAGTCTTTCCGTGCTGTCAGTCAGATGCTGGTCAGTTATGTTTCCTTACCAGCCCTTTTCAGGAGAGATGTGGAACCTGGGTTTTGAGCTTTTGCTGGGTTTATCTTTGAACTTTTATGTTAGCAGGTTATTCTGCTTTTTTGTCTCCACAGCAATGAGATTTGAGGTGGCTGAAATACATTTTTAAAGGCTGAAGTCTGCATTGAAGGGTATGGGCCTTAGTATTTGTATGTTAATGGATGAAGAGTGAGGTTGTGTATGGTGGTGGTTCTCTGTTAGCTGTTCCCCACAGCGGAAAGTTTTAAGGCTGCTTTTAAAGGGTTAGCTGTTTCCTTTGGAGAGGGAAACTGTTTCTGGTTTTCTCTTCTCACCTGCATGGAAGCAATTGAGCTTTTGACTGTTGTGATCATCTGGTCTCACCCATGTGGCACAGTTTGTGCAATTAATGTGCTTGGCCTAATTCTGGAGGAACATACTCAGGCTTGGTTAAATAAGCACTGCTATACAGGAATGGAATTATTTCAACAGCTTTGAAATTCAGGTTAATGAAAAAAAGGAATAAAACTTAGAAGAGGCAGCAGCCTAAATGGTCCCAAAAATGCGGGCCGAAAGAAAATCATTATTTCTGCAGATGTGTTTGAAGAACAGACATTTTCTGCTGTCTGTTAAGTGCTTAGTAGCTGAATGTTGTGACTGGAAGTAACAGCCAGAAGTTTGCAGTCCAGAAGTTTCCTATGTGTACCCTGTGCTGTAGCATTTCCCTTTTTTTTTTTTTTAGGTAAGTTCCCCTGCCTTCCTCCTACCCTACCTCCCCCCCCAAAACAAAACCTGCAACCTATTGTGTCATCATGACAGTAATGACCTCCCCCAACTACAGAAGTACAGAGTCAACCTGTGAAGCTGGTGGGGACATGACCAGGATCCACCTTCTAGAGTGGCACAACCTGCTTGTCTCAACCCCGGAGCTCTCCAGCAACGCATGACAAAGCTGTTGCTGCACCAGCTATTTTTTGGGGGGATGTAGGGTGAAGGCAGAGTCTGTGCCTGGCACGGAGGGAGCTTACCTGGGCAGCTTCCACTTCTGCTCCCTTTACCTTGCTTGGTTTTCTCTTTGCTACTGGCTAGATAGCACAACACATCATTTCATCTTTCTCTGAGGGATGTGTGTTCCTGTAACCACTTGTCAGGCCTGGGGAAGTTTTCTGACTTTACTGTGTGTAAATTGCTTAAATCTGGCCTTGTGAGACCATGAGGTGTCACTTCTACCACAAGGTGGTGGCAGTGGACCCGGGAGGAGAGAACGAGAGCAGCTAATAGAAAAATGTTAGAGATTCTCAGAAAGCAAGTTTCTCAATCTTCCCTGGTCCCCAAACATTCCCTTGCATGCCTACGTGCATACAGGCATGTAAGGGTTGCCTGTAAACTGTTTTCTGGTTTAAATTAATCACTGGTGACACGATCTGGGTCCATATTTTGGAGAACTGCTTGAGTACAAGCTGGGTGATATCATGGGAGTTTCCCTGTAAAGGAGTAGCAGTACTGTGGCAGTAGTGCTCTTCTACAGTAACATGTTAGCAATAGTGTGGCTGTCCTTAAGTGATTAAAAATCATAAGTCAACCTCCCCTCCCCAAATGAGGAAACTTCAGGAAATCACTAGATTAACTAATTCACATTTTTGAATACTAAAACCTCTGAATACACTTTCAGATTTTCCCCTGCAAGATTTCAGAGCACTCTCCTATTGTTTCATTATTTATTATTGGTTTTGGTCAATATTTTATACTCTGTGGTTCCCATAAAAAGATACCCTAGCCTATCTGAAATGTTATTTTTGAATAAATGGAAGGTGGCAGCACTGGTAGTTAATGGTGAGACCTGTTGTTACACTACCGCTTTCCTAAAAGGGTCAGGTCATCTGCTTGGGGCAGAGCTGTGTGGAGCCATTGTAATGCCGGAGTTAACTCATTCATCACCCTCTTCCCCAGCAGCAGATCTGCATGCTTGCATTTGGGGCTCTGGTGAGAGGGACTGGACTGATGCCAGAAAAAAAAAAAACCCACCCACCCAAATGCTGTAGGACTTGCCTGTGTGTGTGTTAAAGTAGCCATGGCAGTGTGTTAGCCTGGCATTAGTATTTGCAGAAGCACCACAGAGGACTGAGGTGGGGCTGCAGAGATCTGAAGAGCATAGCCACAGTGACAGTGAGGGACGTGTTACCTCCTCTCTTCAGCAGTGCCTGCTGTCCTACATCACCCTGGTAATTGAAAAGAATTTGTCCCTGGCAGCTGAAGTTATTGAAGATTGATACTTATTAAAAGCCAAGTAGAAATCAAGATGCAGAAGGGCAAAAGGAAGATGGGATGGAGCTGTTAATCCTGTTCAGTTAGCAAAAAGAGAAAGATTTGTACTTATTCTGTTTGCAACAAGGTACAGGTGTTGCACAGTGCCAGCTGGGATGGAAGTGTCCTGTCTTTCCCCTTTGAAGAGCAGTTTGATGTATGCACGTATGGCATCTTTGATTCAAGGTGAACCAGTGAGGGGCAGCTCATGATGGCCTCATAATTGCTTCCACTGAGGGTGCAAAAAAAAATCTGGTGAAGGAGAAGGTGGGAGGGAGCAGAAGGCCTTGGCTGGATTAGCCTGGAGGAAGAACACAACAACCCCATGCAACGCTACAGGCTTGGGGAAGAG